GGGTGGCGCAGACTCTGAGGGCGCCGAGGGCCGTCTGCTAGGAGCCGACCTCTCCGGAGGCCGCCGTCTAGGAGTCGGCCTGTCTTGGTGTCGTCTTCTAGTACTTGGCCGCCTTCTGGCAGCCGGCCACCAGAAGGCGGCGCTTCATTCTGGAGGCTCGTGGGGCGCCGCAGGCCCAATGTCTTGAAAGGTTCAGGGACTCGGGTTGGGCTACCCGTGGCCAATTACTCCGACAGTAGTCCCCGAAGCTGGTGAGGCATCGCGGCTGATAAGTCGGGAGGCCTCAGCAGTTTCATTCTTCACTATGCTTTTGCCAAATGCATGGGCCGCCTCCTAGCGCGGCGGCTACCAAGAGCCGACATTGCCAGGCGGGCTCGTTTGATAATTTCGAAGCGCCAAGGCGGGAAACAGGCGGCGTGTCGGGTAAGCCTCTGGGCCTACCGCCCGCTGTAAATACGTAACGCGGCGCCCGCTAGCCGGGCTGGGCCTACCAACCCACGCTCATGACGAGACGTGACGGCGGACCGGGCCCGCCATCACCGGGCCTCGGCGTGCGGGCGGATTCACTATGGCCGGGGCGAACGGTTGCGATTCCAAGGGGAGTTACTGCGCGGTAGCTCCATGGAATAAACGCGGGGTCGTGGGGTCGTGGGCGCAGTTAATCCCATGATCCCACGCCCCGCCCCCTCGGCTTCGTAGCCCGACGGCTACAAGTAGGGGGAGGAGGGGGAGCGGCAGAGCACGCACGCCCTCCCCTCCCATCGCCATTTTCTCCTTCTTCCTTTCCTGCCACTGCCGAATCTTCGTGCTCCGCCGAGGCGCCGCCGCAGCTCGCTGCCACCAGCCCCCTTCGCCCCAAGCTTCTCGCTCAGTCTCGCCTAGAATCCATGGCGCGCGAGAAAGGAGGGGACTGGGACGGCTCGCTAGTGATCGACGACCACCTTACCTTTCTCCGGGCCACACGTCGATTGCCCGGCGCGGGCTTCGTCAAAGTGCGTGTGCCGCCGGGAAGGAAATCTCGCCGGCGCCGCAAGGAAACGAGCGGGTTGTCTTCCGCTCGCACTTTCTCCGCGGCTTTGGCCTGCCGGCGAGCCAGTTCTTCCGCTCCTTCATGGAGTTCTACCATCTCCAGCCGCATCACCTGACGCCCAACACCGTGACGCTGCTGTCCGCCTTTGTCACGGTGTGCGAGGGCTACCTCGGCATCCTCCCCACCATCGAGTTGTGGGGAGCCTGCTTCTACACCAAGTTGGGCACCTCCGCTAAGGAGAAGGTGGCCCAGTGCGGTGCCTTTGTTGCGGTGCGCCGGCCGTCGGTAAAGAATGCCTTCCCCGTCATCAAGCTGTCACAGTCGGTGAAACTGTGGCAGAAATCATATTTCTACGTGGAGAATGTCGACCCGGCAATCGACTTCATCAACTTGACGCCCTACGAAGCCGGCCCTCCGACTGAACCTCGTGCCAACTAGGGCTACAAGCCGAAGCCCGTGTCGGCCGACGTCACCGCCGCCATCAACCGGCTCCGAGTGTTGACGGAGGTGGAGGGCCTCGTGGCGTCCAACTTGTTGGTCGCCTTCGTCGAGCGCCGGGTTCTCCGGCTCCAAGGCCGGCCTCATCTGATCTGTCGGATGACCGAGCACCGCAACCCAAGCCGGACGTGCACAAGGGCCATGTCGTTTGCTGAAGTGGCCCGACCGGTGAATGAGATCACCGACCTCAAGCTGTCGGAGGGGTCTTGGCGGTTTGGCAAACGGCCATACTCCCGCGCCAACCCACCGCCTGCTGTAAGTTCTCCGGCTCTCTCTTTTTGGTACTTGCCTTGGTCTTGATCTTGGTCTTGAATAGTCGATCTTTGGACGTAGATCTACATGTCTCCGACGACGGCCGCCGTCATGGGGCCGGGTGGAGACTACCAACCGGACCGGGAGGTAAGCGACGTGGATGACCCCGACCTGGGGGCGGCCTCCCTGGAGGACAACACCGTAGGCGGTGGCGACAGAGCAGGCGGCTCTGAAGAAGGGGGCGGCATCAAGACTTGGCCCGACGATGATGATGAGGAAGACGAGTCGCGCCCCGTGCGAGGCGTCGGTAGAGCGGGCGCGGGCTCCTCTGCCGAGCCGACTGCTCGAGGCGGCTCGCGTAAGCGAAAGCAAGGCGCCATCTTGTTTGGCAGCGCGCCGAAGAAGGTCAAGAACCTGGCCGCCGCGACCAGGCGGAAGGAGGCCGCGGCGAAGGTGGCCAAGTTTCGGAAGCTCCCGAAGGCGCCTCCCATGGTGTCAGCATAAGTATCTATTCTTGTGCGCTTCCTTTCTTGCTGATTCTATCTAAGCTTTATTGCTTTATTTTTCTTGACTTAGGGCCCCGCTCTCCCTTGAGAAGTCGACCGCCGCCTCTGTCATTAGGTCGGCAGAGACCTCCGCCACCACCCGGCGAGTCGATCCGGCCGCCGACCTCCGGGAG